CTCCTAGTTATTTATATCAAGACATAGTCTGTACCTTCAACATAAGATTTGGAAAAAATGGAGTTAACTTTAAATTTAGGAAGTTTGTCTCAACCTTAACTGATGTTTCTCAGTAGAATCTTAAAATTCATTCTTCTTGAGGACATATTGGTGTGAAAAATATATTTAAACTAGTGCTTTTTCCTGAATAAAAATATAGGCAAGAGGAAAATATTCTGATTTTTTGTCATTTATTTGGCAAAATTATTTTGTAACAAAGTCTAAGACAGAATCTTAGGGACTCTTATCATTAAATCCTTTCATCCAAACAAGGACAGTATTCTTTGTCTCTAGCGTAGAGCTACTCTGTATTTGAATACAGCTCAGCATCCACTTCCTAAACAACACGCCTCTGGAAACTCTATGGACTTTGAGAAATGTCGATAGTTATAGAAAGGCTTTAGGCCTTTTGTTTTTAGAGTCACTATGAGTCATGCTCGGCTCCACGGGAATCAACAACGGCTAGACAAATAGTTTCAGGGATGAGCAGCTCTTACTATTAGACAAATTTTTCTTTACATTGAGATGAAACTCTTATGTTAGAACCTACTCCGTTTTGGAATCCAAATGGCTACAATTTTACCAAGAATGGGGCAATCTGTGATTTTGGAATGCTGTGCAAAAGAATGTAAGTATACATCCACATCCCTCTGCTTCCAGCCTCTCCCACCCCTCCTGGATCCTTATACTCATTCTACAATAATGGTCTTATACAATATTTATGCTTGTGGGACTGAGTTAATTCACTCAGTATAATGCTCTCCAGTCCCTCTCAAGTTAGGTAATTATTTACAAAGTTATTGCTCCTGCGTGCTGCATAGTATTCCATTCTGTGAATGTACCACAATTTCTCAATCCATTCGTTTGTGGTTGGACATTTGGGCTGTTTCCCTGTTTTTGCGGTGGTAAACACAGGTGTACAAATCTCAGTTTGTGCCTCAGTTTTCATATTCTCAGGGTATATTCCAAGTAGTGGAATAGCTGGATAATATGGAATTTCTATGCTCAGCTTTTTAAGGAAGCATCAAACTGCCTTCCAGAATGGTTGTACCAATTGACAATTAAAATTTAAAAAAATTTCTTTAAAAAAAAGAATATAAGTTAAGGGTTTGTTCATCTTAACTTGTTACAACCTTTCTACATAAAAATAATTGCAGACAAGAAAGCTTTCACTAAAAAAAAAAAATTAAAAATAAAAAAATTTTTAAAAAAAAAAAAAAAGCTTTCACTAAGCCAGGCTGAATGACGCCAAGCCACATGGAAGGTGTAGCATGAGAAGAGAGAAATGACTATATGGTGAGATGAAGACATTTATGTTTCCAAGATAAAACTCAAGTAACTCACCTGGATACATCATAATAGGGTGTGTCATTTTCAGCTAAAGCATTTTGCAAGAAGTCAGTGTCTGCTTGTAGTGAAACTTGATCGGGTTCATTTGCTAATTCCAGTGGTATCCTGTCACCCAGCCTAAAGAGGAAAAGTAGAGCAGAGGGGTAATAGTACATCACTTTGTTAGAAGAAAGTATTCATGGCCTTACAGCCATTTAAAGCATGAAACTCAAAATCTTGAGAAGTATCATTCCCGTACAATGCTGTGGATATAGAGTGGAATTGAACACAATAATCTTTGTGGTTTATGATCATAAAAATAACGCAGTTTCAAGTCTCTTACAACAGATTCAGATAACTTGCACTAGCTGGATGGTTCAAATATCCAAACTACTTTATCCAATTCTACATGAATGTTAAACAAAGTATATTTCTTTTATAATATCTTCATTTGGTAGAGGGAAAAGATCATAAATCTGAAACATTTTTATGCAAAACAAAGGTTGGAATTTGATTAAGTGTCAATTTTTTAAAATTGGAATATTTTGTGCATATATAGATGTTTATTATGACTTGTTTCAAACATCAAGAACTGCATGTTAATTGCTTGTCTTTTTCAACATCCCTCAGCTTTGTTTTAGAACTTGGCTGACTTCATTTCTCCATTGATTGAGTCAAAAGTATCCATCCATCTATGCATAGTTACTCAAATTAATGATTTTTGTGAAACCTTTGGCTTCTAGTCTTACATATTAACATAACTTTAGTAAAGGATTTATGATGCTATAGTAGAAGACTGAAAACAGCTATGATTGTATCTTGGATATTTGTAGATTTTGTGGATGCAAATAGGTTGAACTATTAAGCTATTGAACACTATTAAAAGTGTATTTGTAGAGGTGTATATGTTATAGACTCTGACTGGATGTGTCAGCTCCTGAACATTTGTGAATCTCTTGATGAGATAGTAATCGGTGGTTAGTAATAAGCAGTCCCAGCAATCAATGGCCATGTCAGCACTCCTGTGATTGCTAATCTCTTGTGACAGTAGTATTCATTCACATGGAACCATTCTGTTTCATTACAGAGCTGCCTAAGATGAAGCTTTAAGCTGGTTTCACAGAAAGCACTAACAGTTAAGAGATTATTCTCCCAAATAAGAATACATCTACCTTGAGCACAGAATGAGGAATGGGCAAATAAATGACTCTATTTCCCTCTTCAATATATTGATGCCTATAAACCAGAAGGAAAAATCAAGCTAAAAAATTTTCATTTACTGATTCTTGCTTTTCTAACATAAATGTATTTTATTTCAGGTAGAATTTTAAATATGCGTGCTGTTCTGCTTTGTTAATTTGAAATGCAAAATACAACTTGCAGATCAGTGAAACTGAGGATTTAGGATTAAAACTAAGTGATTGTTGTTATGTAACACAGAGTCAGAACTGACTCCTAAGTGGCCATCCAGTGGGTTTTTAGAGTCAGTAAATTGCAGGGTAGTTAATTGCCCATATTTTTCCCAGGGAACAGCTGGTGGATTTGAACTGTGTACCTTTGGATTGGTAACACAACTTCTTACTACTAAACCAAATTGTCTCAGTTAATAAATTATCCCATATTTTATAATATCAGCAAATGGAGTTTTGCCTATAAATGTCTGTCCAACGTGATTTTTACTCATACTTCACTAATAATATTCATGTCATGGACATCTGAAAGAAACTATTTGTTTTACTAATTGGTCTTGAAAAGGAACCATCAGATCAGAAGTGGATCTTAGCCGATATGGTTATGGCTAAAAGCTTACTACTTACCTGAAAATGTCTCGGATGAAATGAAAGTTCAACTTCTTGTCCACCTTATTTGCAAATGGGATTAGCTTATTCCTAATCTAGTCTCCAGCACTGTTTCCAGTGTCCTGGGAATGAATTCCAGACCCTGAAATAATTTTTCTGACCTGAGGCTGAGAAACATGTGCTCAACACAGCACTGAAGACATTGTAAGCAAACAATACATAGTTTCAAAGTTGAGTTATTATAAATGGCATAAGAAGACTTCCATTTCAGTGGAGAAGGAACATGTAACTGTGTGAGTTGAAGGCGAACTCACCTCAGAGAAGGAGGAGCTCTGAAAAGAGGCCATGCCAGTGTGTGTGAGAAGACGCTGCAGAGGGCCAGGAGCAGGAGGAACTGGGGCTTACTTCTGGTCTCCATCTCTGAGCCTGCAAAGGGAGAGTCACATCAGCGTGTGCAGCCATCGTGCCCCCAGCAGGGTGATTCTTTCTCAACTTCTTTGGTGAGTTTGTAGACAGACGTTTTCCTCACGGAGGAAGAGTTAACCAGTACTGTGGTTACTGCTTAAATAAAAATTTCTTTTAGTGATGGGTTCTTAAATAAAAACTGGTTCTATCTGCCACCTGTCTCTTACTTGGCACAAGGCACTCAGGTATGTATTGAAAGCCACACTGTATCTCTCCCCTCACAGGAATTTACCCTAAGAACATTCTTTCTATAGTAGAGCTGTAGCACCCAGATTTAGTATCTCTTCTGACTAGACAGACAGCTTAAGAAACTATTTCTCTTATTTTTATGATTTTTATATACAATTGACAAGAAACTGGGATAACAGCTATCAGATTATTTTTCTACTCCAGCAAATGCTAAATTTGAGTTTCTTTCTGTATGTTAGTATATGTATTAACACAAAACGAGTCTGATTCTGTATATGCACATATACAGAATACATATTCATATTCACATATACATATTTTTTTAACCCACATATTACTAGGAATTTATTCTCTGAGTTTGAACAACTTAATAGTGAAAAGATTATCATTGAGCCATGTAATTATCTTTTTCTAGAAAATAACCTGAAAAGCAATCTTTTGGGGATTTTTATTTTTACATTTTGTTAATTTATTGCTTGAGTTCTAAGTGTTATTTAGACAAAAACTAAAGATGAAAGGGATATTTCTTTTGCTTTCTGTAAATGTCACAACTTAAACTGAAAATAAAAAGAGAGTTAAATGCTTTCTGGTTTCACTGAAACAACTTAAAAAGCACAGCACTTAGGAAATAAGTTGTAAGCTTTAAAAATAAATGTGCTCTCATGAGATTGTGCAGTTTGATGGGGGAGAGGAAGGGAAATTGGAAAAGTCTCTTCTGGGAAAGAATATATTAGAATTTTGTAAATAAATGAGCATAATAATAAAAAAATAAAAATTAAAGAGACACCAAAAAACAAACGTGCCCAACAAATCTTCAGTCAAAAAAGTATATACAAGCAAATAGAAGCCTAATAAGTGCATATTTTTAAAAAATTATTCATTAGTGATAATAATTAATTAGGCTGAGTAAAGCACGTTGCAAACAAAAATTTAGTACCAGAAGTTGAAACTTTTTTTTTTATACTTACCAGGTGACTTGAGAAATTTGCCTTTTACTGTTTCAAAGGAAGAACACTGTAAAATTATTTTTTTGAGAAAGATTCAATATATCCTGAGAAAAGTTTTAAGAGACAGGGAGAAATGGATGGAGGGCAGATAGAGAAAGTTTTTACTTACCTGGCTAAGTTCCTTGGGAACGTCCTGTTCTGAAGGAGGGTGTGGCGCTGTCTCAGGTGCTGAAGTCCTGGGAGTCCAGGAGAAGCCCTAAGGTTTTTCTGGTCCTGCTGCTACACCAGACCTTGCACTGGCTAAGGGTTGGCTTAGGAATCGCCAGCTCTGTTCTTCATTCTCTGACCAGCATTTCAAAGCCCATCATTTTATAGGGCTTCCACTTAGGGCTGAGCAATCGCAAAGCTCTCAGAAAGACGTCACAATAGTACTCCCATGGGATGAATAGGGTTTGACGTTCTCACCTAGTCGTCAGTATGTCTGATTTATATGAATATATAGTGAGTAACTTCAAGATGCAAAATATAAAGAGGAAATTTAGTTTTCTTCCAACAGAATTTACTATTCTTTAAGCAGCTCATTGTGAAATGCTTTAATCTTTACCTCAATACTAATGAAATAAGAGAGTAATTATAGTGTTACAGCCAGGGCCACTTAGGTGCATTCAGGAGAGAGGGATTTAATATGCAAGAATAGATACAGAAAGCAACAAGCATTTACAGGTAGAAAATTCTCCTTCATTACACAGTATTAATTTTCCAAAGGCTTTGCTATTTTGTACCATCCATGTACCATCCTGATAAAAATCTTTCTGGAGATCTAACCTAATTTGAAAAACTTCTAGAAATAATTTTCAATTTTTCTACTAATCTTTTTTTCCTTTAGGATGACACTATCTATAATAATAAAGTTTCAGAAAGGCTCATAATTGTGTAGAAGGCATTAACAACACTGCCATTTCATATGTGTAGAAAATGTTTTCATTTCTTTCGCACTTTTACAGACATTGTCTTAAATTAGTTGAAAGATAAATTGTTTTCAGATGGTGTGTCTCCAGGTATTTACTGGTTTACTTCTCCTTAAAAAGTATTCTCATCATATTTATAAGTCTAAACATTAAACATTATGCAGAATTCTTTTTCTCTCTCCTCCCCTACCCCCATATTAGCTCCATTTATATAAAAAACACATTCTTAAAAAAAAAAAACCACATTCTTAATGCAATCACTTTTCTGAAAGTAAGATGGATAACATTTGTAAAGAATTTGTTAAATACTTAATTTTTCTGCGTACGTTGCCAACTAAAAGGAGTAGCCTATCACCATTGATTCAGAGTTAAATGTAAAAATGCAGTTTTAGAAACAATTTCATGAACAAATTAAAACATTTTCTTCCCTTTCACTTTTTAACTTTCCAATGTATTTAGTCTTTTATGTTCTTATTTGAAAGTTCCTCAAGAGAGAATAGCTTAAGATCTCTTTATCCTACTACAATCTTTTAGTATCCATTTACTTTGTTCAAAGCCAGGCTGGTTCAGGAAAAGACTATCCTGGTATTCTCAATCATGTTTTCTAATCCAGTTACAAGAAAATTAAATGAATTAAATTTCAAAATGTCTGGAAATTTGTTTCCCAGTTGACAGCTCTGACTTAAGCCAGAGTTCCTGTGGCTTAATTCCAGGAAATCTTTTTTTACCTGATTATTACAAACTGGAGGTTGAAATGTTTGTCACATGGAATTTTTTATTCTTCACTCTCCATCACCCAATTCTCCGTGAAACAGTTTTCTTTAGGAGCAATGACAGCCATGCCAGCTGATAGGCAGTCACACAAAAATCGATGCTGAATGATAAGCAGAAAAATCTAACAGAAGAAAAGGCAGAAAAGTTGATTGTAACTGAGTCTAAGGAATTACTTGGCATTGACAGAGAGTAAATGTAGTCAATGTTTTCCAATAGTAAGTAAATTCTCTCCCCTTACAGTAATAAAATAAAAAGAAACAATTCCATTTTATTATCTCTGTATAAAAATAAATTAAGTTGAAGAGTTGCATTTTTCCTTATGTATTTAAACTAGAAAGTAAACCGGAATTTCAAAATGGTATCATAGCACCATCTACAGGTTCTAAGCCTTAAATCAGAGATGTATGAATTTACTCCCCCCATAGCTAAGAGTTTAATTGTTTTGTTTTGTTTTTATGCTTCATTTATGTACATTTCCTCACCCCGCTCCTTCCTTCTACCCACCAAACTCTGTGACCCCATGATTTCCCTCCTTTATTACCCACCCTTAACCCCCTTGCTTCTCCCCTACCCTCTTTGAATATCCATACATGTCTATCTGGTTATTCTTCTGTTTTTTTAGAGTAACGGTCTTATACAGTATTTGTACTTACATGCCTGAGTTAGCTCACTCAGCATAATGTTCTCTAGCCTCTCCCATGCTATATGTTATTGTGTTGTTGATTGCCTTAGAGTCAAGCACAACTTATAGTGAACCTAAGAACAAAAGGCCTGAAGCCCCTCTACAACTATCGACATTTATCAAAGTCCATAAGTTTCCGAAGGCAAGTTGTTTAGGAAGTGGATGCCACTCCTGCTTCCAAACCTGTCATAGCATGTTATTGTTGTTATGTGCCATTGAGTCACCTGCAATGTACAGCTACTCTATGTACAGCAGCTCTGAACCCTTCCCTGTTCTGAGCCAGTCTCACTAATTTTGACACACCAATTCCCATTGTCCCAGTCACTGTGTCAATCCATCTCATCTGGGGTCTCCCTCTCTTGTGCTGTCGGTCAACCCTTCTGAGCATGATGTCCTTCTCCAAGCACTGATCTCTCCTGGCTACGTGCACAGAGTAAGTGAGGGGGAGTTTCAAAATCCTAGCCTCCAAGGAGAAACTTGGTTTCACTCTCTCTAAGATAGACCTATTTGTTTTCTTGGCAGATCATGGTATGTTCAAGACTCTTCTCCAGCACCACAACTCGAAGGCATCTATTCTTCTGTCAGCCTTAGTTATTGTCCAACTCTGAAGCATAACTAGTAAATGAGAAGACCATGGCCAGGATTAGGCACACCTTTGCATCTAGACTGACATCATTGCTCTTCAGCACTCTGGAGAGGTCCATGACGGCAGAGTTTCCCAATGTAAATCATCTTTTGATTTCCTGACTGCTGGTGCTAAGAGTGTTGCTTGTGGATCTGAGCAAGCTGTAACTGCTAACAACCTCCACCTCTTCTGCATCCCTCATGGTGCTGCCAATTGGCCAAGTGATGAGAATCTTTGTCTTCTTGATGTTGAACTTCAATCCATATTGAAGACTACAGTCCTTGACCTTTTGCTGCAATTGCAGGTCTTCAATTTCAGCAAGCAGGGTTGTGTCATCTACATATTGTAGGTTGTTGATGAATATTCTCCAATCTTGATGCCACACTCCTCCTGCTTCCCTCATGATCTGTTCTGCATACAGACTGAAAAGTTATGGGGACAGGCTGTATCCCTGACACACTCCTTGTACTTTTCAAAATCATTGTGCAGCAGTACTGCATGGTGGTCCATGGTGTGAATGTACCACAATTTCTGAATCCAGTCATTTGTTGATGGCATTTACTTTTTAAGTCTGCTTCTCTCGGTTTCTTTTCCAACAGTGGCCTGTGTTAGTTAACATATATATGCATTCAGTAAAACAAACATACAGAAAGGAATACTATAGTTGAATTTGTTCTGAATTCTTTGTTACTATAAAACTCTGTAAATAACAAGTGTTAATTATTGAAATATTTTTCTTTATTTTGACATTGTTGTAATATACTGTTG